CTACACTGTACCTGGCGGCCTTCTTGCTTTCAAGCTGCCTCCCACTGGCCTTTCACAGGGTTTGTTGCAGGGCCACTGGTACTGGGTTTCTTTTGAATGTGGTTAAGAAAAGTAGCATTGAAGTACTTGCTGAGAACAAGTACGGGCATGTCGGAAGCAGTGGGTGATGGGAATACCGATTACCTGTGCAGTCCCAGCATAGGTGGGCAACTGCGTGTGCACATCGGACTTTTAGAAAATGCGGCCCCAAGAGCTAATGAGAGAGGATTTAAAGATGACCTGCAAAAGGAAGGCAAGTGGGGTTGGGCCCGTTGTTTGCTTCTTTATGATAGTTTGGGTTTTAAGGGGGCCATTTAGGGAACTGGGGTAAAAATCTGTCTGGGGATTGGTCCTGCTTTGAGCAGGGGGTTGGACTAGATGATCTCCTGAGGTCCCTTCCAACCCTGAGATTCTATGATTCTATGTGAACATACAAGTCTGTCGCATTTAACATGTGCGATTTCAGCTTTACACGGTCGGCAAAACCAAAACAAAAAACAAAACAAAAAGAGAAAAATAACAATTTAAATACTGTTTCTGTAGTGCGGGCGATTCCGCCCGCCATTACACTCAATGTAATTTTGACTATAGGCGATTTTCGTTTTAGGCGCTGACTGCGGAACGTAACCCCAGCGTAAGATGAGACAGACCTGTACCATATATTTAATTTAAGGCAGAAAAAATCAGGAACACTTAGTCGGGCCTTTTCTGCTGTTGCCGGAAGGACTCACTGGAGTCTCCTCCACTCTAGGCTGTTACTTGAATAAAACACTGAACTAGCAATTGAGCAGGGTGCAGCCCGTAAACTAGCGTCCAAAGCAGCTAGTCTATAATCTAGACTGCATGGAAATCTATCAAGGGGTTTTCTGTAGCACCCATCACCTTAGTATCTAAGCCAGGGGTCGGCAACCTTTCAGAAGTGGGGTGCCGAGTCTTCACTTACGTACTTTAACTTAAGGTTTTGCGTGCCAGTAATACATTTTAACGTTTTTAGAAGGTCTCTCTCTGTGCTATATTATATAACTAAACTATTGTTGTATGTAAAGTAAACATGGTTTTCAAAATGTTAGAAGCTTAATTTAAAATTAAATTAAAATGCTGATCTTATTCCACCGGCCCACTCAGCCCGCTGCTGGCCTGGGGTTCCATTCACCTAGTTCGGCAGCGGGCTGAGCGGGGCCTGTGGAACCCCGGCTGGCAAGGGCCGGCAGCCGGGACCCCAGACTGGGGGTGCAGGTGGGAATTGGTGGAGGGGGGGTTTGCAGGAGCTCTCGTTTAGTGCTCAGGGTGGGGATGTGGGGGAGTGCAAGTGTCAGGGCATGGGGTGTGGGGGGGGCTGGGTATGTGTGGGGGGTGCAGGAGTCAGAACGGGAGCTGGAGGTGTGTGAGGGGATGCAGGGGTCAGGGCTGGGTGTGTGTAGGGATGTAGGGGTCAGGGCAGAAGGCTGGGTGTGTGTGAGGGCGTTCAGGGCAGAGGGCTGTGTGTGTGTGTGCGGGGGGTTCA